AATGGCAAATTTCCAGTCAATTTCACTTCCACCACAGCATCTTCTCTGCCAATCAGTAAGCCAGGGCCATTCCCCTCCAACAAGGTCTGGGGTTTGCCCAGAAATAATGGTTGCTCCTTATATTCTTTGGTGTTCTCTTTACTTCTCACTAGTCAGTACCTGGTTATCCAAATCCTTGATGTTGTTAATAATTCCCCATATTATGCTTCCCCTGTTCAAATTACAGTATAGCTTTACTCTCCTGATTGGACCCATATTGATATACCTCCTTGTCCATCTGAAAAAAATTCTTCCTATTCCTTGAAACTAGCCTTAGGCATCATTGCTGTACTTAGCCTAGCAAAAATTTGGGTAGATACACATTGAATGTATCTATTCATTCATGCATGTGGTATGCATGACTCATGCTTGGAAGTTATTTAGGAGCCCAGTTTGTAAGTGAGACTCACTTTTTATCTGATTGATGACCAAAATCCTAGAGAAGCCATGGTTGAGAGAATCTGGATTTGGTGTCTTAAAGACGGAGGTTGGGCCTCTTGGAGTCTGCTGTTCAGACTGGAGTCCTATCTCAACCCAAGCAAAGCCTCCCCACACAAATTTCTTTAACTTTTCACCCCATCTGCTTAGAAGTATTGTGAAATTCTAGGCCCCACACACCAAACAAAGTTAAGAAACTAACACTTCCTGATTTCAAAATGTATTACAAAGCTACAGCAATCAAAACAGTGTGGTAGTGACATAAAGACAGACATATAGACCAATGAAAAGGAATAAAGAGCCCAGAAATGTACCCTCTCATATATGGCCAAATGATTTTCAAGAAGGGTGCCAAGACTGTTCAGTGGGGAAAGAACAATCTTTTCAACAAATGGTACTGGGAAAACTGGATCTCCACATGCAAAACAATGAAGTTGGAAGCTTACATTATGCCACATACAAAAAATCAAAATGGATCAAAGACCTAAATATAAGTGCTGAAATATAAAACTCTTAGAAGAAAACAGAGGGAGATTTTCATGATGTTGGATTTGGCAGTGATTTCTTGGATATGAGGCTGAAAACACAGGCAACAAAAGAAAAAAATAGTTACATTGGACTAATTAAATTGAAAACTTGTATGCATCAAGGGATACTGTCATGTGAGTGAAAGGACAACTCACAGAATGGGAGAAAATAGTTGCAGTCCTGAATCTGAAAAGGGATTAGCATCCAGGGTACTTAAAGAACTGCAATGAACAACAAAAACCCAATTTAAAAATGAGCAAAGAACTTAAATAGAAATTTCTCCAAAGAAAATAGACAGATGACCAATAAACACATGAAAAGATGCTTGATTGACATCACTAATCATTAAAGAAATGCAAATCATAATGACAATAGGATACCACTTCCCATGCATTAGGATGGCTATGACAAAAATAAATAAAAAGAAAGAAAATAACAAGTGGTGGTTGACGACCCAGAGAAAGTGAAACTCTTGTGCACTGTTGGTGGGAATATAAACTGGCATAACTGCTATGGAAAACAGTCTGGTGATTCCTCAAAAAATTAAACATAGAATTATCATATGATCCAGCAATTCCACCTCTTGGTTTATATCCTAAAGAATTAAAAGTAGGGACTCAAACAGATATTTGTGCACCAATGTTCATATCAATATTATTCACAATAGCCAAAAGGTGAAAACAATCCAAATATCCAAGATGAAAGGATAAACAAAATGTGGTATGTGTGTACAAAGTAATAGGATTCAGCCTTAAAAAGGAAGGAAATCCTGGCACATGCTACATTAGGATGAACCTTAAAGACATTATGCTAAGTGAAATAAGCCAGATGCAAAAGGAAAACTATTGTATCATTCCCCTTAGGTGTGGTACCTTGAATAGTCAAATTAAAGAGACAGAAAATAGAATGAATAGAGATGAGCAGAGGTAGAGGGGAGAAGATGATGGGGAGTTACTGTTTAATGGGCACAGAGATTGAGTTTGGGATGATGAAAAAGTTCTGAAAGTTGATGAGGATAATGGTTGCACAGCTACATGAATGTACTTAATGCTACTTGAATTGTGTAGTTTTAAATGGTTAAAATGGCAAATTTTATATTATATGTATTTTACAACAAAAATCTGAAAAATAAAATAAAGACAAAATACAAATACAAATTCGAGCACTTATTTTGTGTCAAGTGCTAGTCTAAATGCTTTTTGCCCATTGCTTGAGTTGATTCTCCCACAAAGCAGGTACAGATGAGAAATGGAGGCTCAGACAGGTTAAATATTCTGCCCATGGAAATGGAAAGAGTAGATGGCAGAGCTTGGAAAGGGAACCCAGAGAGTCAGGCTCCAGAATCAGCCCGTATAACCTGTACACCACACATCCCCCCAGCCGACTAACAAATTATGAGCATTATCTGTGCTGGGAAAGGGAGAGGGCTGAGTAAGGAGCCAGCATCCTCCCAGCCTCTGGCCTTACTGTAGGTCCTTGACACAGCACCTCCTTGATGCTGGGAAAACCAGGTACTCCCAGGCCAGGCCCTTCTCCTCTGACCCTTACAGCTGGGGCGCAGGCCTTTGGGAGAAGGTGCAGCCCCAGATACACTCAGTGTCAACAGAAAGGGGCATGTGACCTACCCCCTAACAGGTAAAGGGAGAAGTTTCTTCAAACATTCTCCAAGAAAATGCCTGAAGGAGCACATCACAGTCCAAAGATGTCTGGAGATGATCTGGCCCCTCATCCAGATAGAAATCCTTTGAAGTTAAAAGAAAAAGAAAAAGAAGACTGGAATAACTAACACTGTTGGTGAATCATTCACAAAACACATGTGGAATCTGACTGAGGGGGAAAATTCTTAAATTGGAGACTCCAAAATGTTCATGTTTTACTAATGTGTTTGCTGGGTTTCAATATATTAAATTAATATATTATTAATTAGTGATATGCTGGTTTTCACTATATTAATATATCTTTCTCTTCTGAACTGTCTCTTTCTCTCTCTAGCTATAAAAGAGACCAATGCTATTACAAAGGCTCTGTGTTATTAATATTTATTGAGATCTTACTACATGTAAGCTCCTTACCTGTATTATTTAACCCTCACCAACATCCTCATTTCGTAGCTGAGAAAACACAATGAGGTTAAATAACCTGTCCAATGTCAAATAGCAAAGAAATGGAGAGCTCACAGTCACACCAGGCAGTCTGATCAGACCCTTACTATAAACCAGTCTGGTCACAGCAGAAAACTCCCTTCTACACTCTTAGGGGCCCCTTTTCCTCATCTGGGAGAGGTAGGGATTGGACTAGATGATGTGTAAAATTTTCTTCCAGCTTGAACATGTCTATTTCTTCACCCCTGCGTGCAAATGATACTCCACCAGGGCTTCCCAGGTGGGTGTCCTCCAACCCTCACTTTAATTATGGGTGCCATTTATGCTGTAAGACTGGACAGGAGAGTTGAGCTCAGCTGAAATTGACAGTACCCGAAGGTGTTTATCATTCTTTAGTCCTGCCTCAAACAACCTTTACTCTTCAACTGCACTCACCCCCTAACTACCTAAACATCTCCACTATCTTAACAAAGTCTCCCCAGACTCTGAAACATTTTTATTTTTCCAATAAAAGAAAGAAGCAGACAGAAAGATTCAAGACCAAGAAGGAGAAAAGGGTTCACTCATCTTCCCATTATATATTTCTCTTTCTTCCCCTGGAGTCTAAGGATTCCTTCTCGCTGATGAATTTTCTAATACACCTGGATAGTGGTGTGCTGGTAAATGTTTAATAATCATCTCTCCAAGCAAACAAAAAGCCCTGATTGGCAGCATCTGCTGAGTCCTGAAGTTGAACTCTTCCCACCATGGCTGATTGCAGGCTACCAACACCAAGTCATTAAGTACAAAGTTGAAATGAGATATAAGCCAGTGGGAGCTGGCATGAGCACACACTGAATCTGGGTCATGGTACTATTTCATCAGCAAGACTTGCAGCCTAAAGTATCGTTGATTCATTTGTTTATCCATCCATTTGACAAACTTTTTGTTATATTATACTAGGAATATGAATAAGGTATCCATTAAATTAATTCTTTATTATGATTTTTTTTTTTTTGGTTAAAAAAAGGGTCTGGTTTCCTTATCCTTCCCAAGCACAGACAATGCTCATGATGTATCAGTCAGGTCGGAGCATATGTGGTGTACAGGTTATAGGGGCTGATCCTGGAGTCTTTATTACCTGTTGACTTTATTACAGAATAGTATTATTTTTCTAGAAGTTAGTATTTCCTCCCAGAAGTTCCTTGGGATAAGATAGGTAGAATGATGGCTTTCCTACCTTCAAATAATTCACCTACCCAATCATATGAGACAATTTGCTTCTCTTGGGTTAATAATTCTCATTAACATTCTAAGTATTATGGAAAATGGTATCAGAATAGCCTTGATTATAAAACCTTAAACTGCTTTATTAAAGTAAACTTATAAAACCAATACAAAAGAAAATATCTAGAAAATGCTAACCCAGACATAATCCTTCTATTATACATTTTCTCTACATTGATATATTTAAGATATGCAGAGGTTGTGAAAAGTAAGTTCTCTCAAGTTTAATTGCCTTGATTCGATCACAGTTCCACTGCTTATCTGCTGCATGATCTGGGATAAATTAGTCAATATCTCTGTGCTTTGATTTTCTCACTGTAAAATGGGGCTCATGATAATAATAGTAGCTGTTGTGAGAATTGAGTAAATATACTTGTAACACCTAAAATAATATAAGGGCTTTTCATAAAACCATTAGCATTTATTATCAGCAAACACAATTAATGGTTTCTTGAATGTTGCCTAAGTATGTCATTCTAAAAAGGTGGTGCAGTCCTCAAAGTCATTTTGTAGTCTCTGCAGTGCCTAGCACAGAGTATGACCTTAATAAATTCTTGTTGAATAAGCAAATGAAGTAATTAATTGATTAAATGTGACTAGATCAATGTGACACTGAAACACTCTTACCACAAATAAGTCACCTGGTCTTCCATCTGGATCCTGGGCACACTCTCTGTCTCCAAAAGCTTCTCCGAAAGTAAGGAAAGTAACCAAGAATAAGTACCTAGAATAATTTGTCAGAGCTATTCACATGTATTTATGTTCAAGAATGTTTATTATATATAAGCAAGAAAAAATGAAAACAACCTAAATGTTCAACAACAAGGAAAAGGTTGAATAAATTATCATGTAACCACTAGATATTTATGTTTTCAGTAAGTATTTATTAACATGAAAAAATGCCCTAATTGTAGTAAGTGAAAAAAGCAGCATATTAAATTAGGTAAACAATATAATTCCACTGTTTATTATTTTAAGTATTTACATTAAGGGAAACATAAAAAAAGACTTACCAGAAATACACCAAAATCATAACAGTAGCTATCTATCTCTGATTAGTTGGAGTAGGGTGGTTTTTTCCTTCTTGATATAGTCTGTATTTTCTAAAAATGACGAAAAGAAAAGATGAAGTAGATCTGAACTGTTGGCCTTGAAATTAGTGTCTCAGGGATGAAATCATGTGTCCTTATATACACATGGGTTCACTGACCTTCCACTTCTGTGGATAAACTAGGTCACCCACCTACATAGCCACCCAACCTGACAATCGCCACCACCCATCCCATCCCGCTCCCAACTTTCCCAAGTGTCCCAAATCTGACATGACAGCATAATCCATGCTTTGCAAATATAACTCCAACATCCAGCTATTTGGAAACACCAGTGATTAACTTAATTATTCACACTTTTTTCAGTTATCTGGTATTGGGCAAATACAGCCAACCTCACGTAGACATATTTCCAGCTATTAAAAACCAAGCACATTTTATGTTATCTCCTGCCCTTGAGGTGCCTGATACAAGGGAAGCATGATTGAGTAGCTTCCTGATAAGGCTGAACAAATATGTCTTTTGAAATAGGCTTTCAGAAAAGCCCAGGTTGGAGACGTGCGATATACATTAAAATCTAGCTAAATTTAAGTAAAGATGGATTTCAGTTTAGTGAAGTGTGAATTCTAGAATATTTGTTTAATAAAAGCCATTTTATTACTCTCAAAGCCAAATGAGCTTGAAGCATAATATTCTGAGTCTAAGTCAAGGTAGCAAGCATATAATTGGCTCCTGCTTTTAGAAATAGGTAAGAATTGTTTATAATGAATGTATCAGTTAAGTATGATCCAGTCCTGATGTGTTTAAATAAGCTTATTCAAAATAATAAAAAAGCAACTTTTTCCCTTAAGCAGTGTGACATTTAACAATCTTATTTTTATTCTCAATTTGCTACATCCACCTCTCCTCAAGGCAATCTCAAGCCAAAGCTTATCTAAAGCATCATAAATTTCAAACGGCTGAGTTAAATCAATAAAGGTTACATAGTACATCTTTTTTAAAAAAGTAGGAAGAGGAGGCATAACTTAGCTAAATGTAACTGGAGAAATGCACAGACGTTATTTTTGTATTAGTTCCTTTGGTGTAGATGGAGGGCCCAAGCTGAAATTCTATTTTCATTCATGAGGAAAATCTCAGAACAGTGGGCACATCCTGGGAGATAATCAGCCCAAAAAAGAGAGCAGTGCCTGAAATTCTTTAGGGGAGGAAATCACTAACACCAAGGAACATTTTACTGGGAACCAAATGTGCTATCTCTGTTTGCATGTCATTAATTTCTCCATAGCATGTGTCACTAACATTATATACATTTTAATTTTTTATTGTCTGTCTCCCTCAATTAGAATATAAGCTCCATGAAGAAATAGATTTTTGTTTAAGATTTTTGTCTTGTCACTTTTTGGTTTTGCTCTACGCATTTATAATGTGCCAGCACCTTGGGCCCCTCCAAAAATATTTGTTGAGTGAGTCAAGCTCACTCATAAAGCGCATATTCCTTGAGGTATCTACAGTGAAGGAGAAAGAGCATGGGAATTGGGAGTCCAAAGTAAGTAGCACTTTGCATGGCTCAAAATAGATACTCCACTAATAATTTTTGAAGGGGGTAGAAAGATGGGTAGACAGATGGAGATGATGGACAAATATCATATTGGGGACTCTGAATCTGTAAAATAGGAATAATAATTTATTAAGGAAACAAAGTAGTTGTGACATAGTTACTCAGTAATCCTTCTTGTAGCTGATGTAGAGGAAGCAGGAAGAGGGCAGTACGAATCCTAGCCATGTAAGACAAGGAAAGAAATCATTAAATCTCCTGTGTAAATGAGAGGAGACAGGACTTTGGGCAGAAAGGTATGTTTTTATTCTGTCTTGTAGTCCTGCCAAGTCTAGACAGTGTTTGAGCAGAAAGGCAGGCAAGAGGCAGCCAAGTGGAGCAGGTGAGCGGCCCACCAGCTTCCAATGAGACAGGAGTGAAAACCAGCCTTCAGTTTCCCTCCAGTGGCCTCCTTGAACTGTAAGTCCTCTGACTGCCAGGCACGCCCTCCACTGACACTCTGGATCTTAGTTCTGGTCATTAGTCTCAAGGGTAATCCAGCCCCTGCATTCTTGGTCTTAAGTCTGTGCTTCTTGCTTTAAGAGCTAAACTTTCTAATTCCTTCTGGAGTGTTCCCATGTGCCTGTGGGGGGCTGGCTCAGTGAAGGCCAAGGCCTTGGTGGCAGGGGAAGTGGGGGACACTGTGTCCTGGGAGCAAAGGCCTGGATGGGGTACAGAAGAAAACCATAGGCCAACCCCTGGGTCCCCCAAACAGTAGAGGGCTAGCCTGGGGAGATGTTCCAGGGCCTGGGACACAGCTCCTCCTGAGGAAAGCTACAGGGCCCATTGGCAGCCAAGCAGGGTAACCTGGCAGAGAAGGAGTTTTCTTCCTGCTGTTGCTACCTTGGGTCTAGGGATTTCAAGGTGTCCCAAAGCTATACCAGTTCTGTGATGTGCTCAGGAAAACCACTTTGTCTCAGGGCCTCAGGCCCTCCTGTGTTTAGTGGTTCAAGAGGCCAATTCTCTTCTTACCATTAAGAGGCCCAGGCTCCCGTGGGATGCAGCCATTGCTGTTTTGAGTGTGAATTACTCTAAACCTCAGTGCCTTTGGGAGGCTAGACAGTAGACATCCCTTGAAACCAACCCTCAGACTCAGGAGCTGTCAGAAAACCCCAAACATGCCTTTTTGCCAGTGCTCTGCTCTCTTGTGTTAGGAGTGATGTTTCTATCTCTGTCCCAGAGAGAGAAGCCTGCACAGATGATCCTGTCTGCAGGCCTTCACTGCTGACAATCCAGAAAACAGTGTGGATCAGCATTGAACTGAAAACAGCACATATGCAGAAACTGTTCAGTTTATCAGTGTCATTCAGTCACCCAGTGTGGCCTCAGTGCCTGTCCCATCAGAAGTCTGGAAACAGGTGCTATGGAAAATGTACAGAAATATAAGACCCTACCCTCAACAGCCTTTTCACACCAGGTCAGGGAGACAGCCCATGCATATATGCAGTGAGGCTCACAGGCAGGGATGGGTGTCAAATAAATATCACAGGCCATGCAGACTAGAAGTGTTCAAGGGCTACATATGCTTTCTGAGGGTTGGGTTGTCTGGGAAAGCTCGGAGAAGTGGTGAACCCCCCAGCGTCTTGTGGAATGGCTTGGAGGGGTGGAGTAGGCAAGACCAGCAGAAAGAAGTGCAGGAATGACATTAAACACACATTAACCTGTCCTCACGCCTCTCCAACGAGACTCAGATGGCCACTGGCTCTGACTGGGGAACTTGGTAAGGTAACTGTTGAGTGCCTAGGCATTCCCACTCCCATCTCTTCATGCACCCAAAGCAGCTTCAGAAGCCCCTGGGTTGTTAAGGCAACTCAGTTCACACACCACGAGCTAAACTTCTAACCAGCTCTGTGAAGAATTATTGCTGTATTTTCAATCCTTCACACATTGTCTTATGGTCAAAACAAAAATCACTTTTAGCCCGTCTTGCAGGTTCCAGACACTGCCTACCACCACCATTGTTTCTTTTCTGAGGGCCTTGGATTCACATTTCCTTTCCTATCTCATAACCACTATCTTCTCCCCAGCATCAGCACCTTCCAGGCCCTGCATGTACATTACCAGGCCTGTCCCACTGCCTCCAGCTGCTTTTATAATAACTCACCCACTCATTTCAAGCTTTGAAAATGTGCACATACTTAGACTTATTAACTCCATTTCTCAAAATGTGTATTTGCCTAACTTTTTTCTTTTATTCATTCTTTCATTTGTTTATCTGATGTGTTTTGGGAGTCCTGCTAGATGCTGGGGCGACACAATAAGCAAGCCAGAAACTCAAGTTTCTGCATGGAGTTTCTGCATATACAAATCTAAGAGGTTGTTTGTATATTTCTCCCCTAAATCCAGATTTAAAATTTTTTAAAATTTTGGCTCATGGAGGAGACATGTCACTGCATCATATCATAAAATAAAATCACATTGACCATGCCGAAGACACAGAATGACAGGTATAGACAGAATGAGAAAGAAAATTGTTCCAGGTCAGAGGTTTTCAAACCTAGAGCCACACCCTGTGAACCTTGAGGGTAGGGACACCCAGCAGAGAGGGGAGGGGAGAGTATCTCATGCTTCACATGAGGACTCTTATTTCCCCAGCATCCCTCTCACCAAGTTCTTCTGCATAGTTTTTTCCTAGTACTTTGGCCTTTCCAGTAAGATTTATTTGAACAGAATATTCTGTGACTGAAAAAGTTTGAAAACCACTAGTTGTCTCAAGTATCTATATTTAGTCTGGAAATCCTCCAGACTGTGGGATTTTTTTCCCCAAAAAATTTTCTTAAATTCCCATAATTCCTCCAGCTTTCAAGTTTAATTAGTGGGCTTTAATGATACTTGATACATGTTGGGTATATAATTAATGGACAATAATAACACAGGCATGCTAAGTAACAAAATCTCCTAGACCATGCAAACGTGCTGGGACTTGGAGTCCTAAAACAATTTTGCACAGTGTGTAATGGGAGGGGCTGCATGTGGGAAAAACATCAAAAACAGCAAAAATGTAGGCTGTATAAACAATTTGACATGACTTCCACATGATGTCATTTAATTTGTATTTTATTTAATATTTGCTAAGTACTCACAATATGCTGGATAATAATCTCTTTTCTCTAATTCTCTTCAGCACCTTGAACCCACAGATTTCATATCTGAATTTTCATCATTCACATACTTCCATTGTGATTAATTTTTTTTAACATTATCTGCAGGCTCCTTGTACTACTAAATATTTTATTTAAGTAGATTCATTTATATTTAAATAAATTTATTTTAAAAGACAACTTTATATCATTACCCATAAATAGAAGGCCAAAATAGAACACTTACCAAAAATAGAAGGTAACTGTAACAATAAATTCATAATGATGAAAATAATATTTTCCTCTCAAATATAAAGTATATATAAAATATAAACGATTGATGTAGAGCTTGCCTTTGTTCCATCACCTCACTTTACACCCCTTTGCCCACACACCCACATCCCATCCCCCACTCCCTTCTGAGTACCTACCTTACTCTCAACTAGTTGACAGCTAACAGCTGATAAGATAAAGGTATTAATCTCCTATTTTTGTATATTGATGAGACTATTAATTTTGAAATCAAATACCAGAACCTTAAACATATGCAAGTTTTATGAGACTTTCATAAAGAAACTTTGGCCATTTAATACATCAGGTAATCTATTTAAAAATTTTTTTTACATTTTTTTATTGCAAGAAAGATGATATACAATATTATATTGGTTTCAGATGTACAACATGGTTACTGGTTCATTGTATACATTTCTAGATGCTTGCCACAGGAAATGTAGTTACTAGGTAACCTATTAACCACCTACTCGTGAATCAGTCTTCATGCTTCCCCACAGGTTCATATTTGGAATTCCCCAAAATATGAAAATTCACCCAAGACTATATTAAAAGCTTTAGGATTGACAGGTATGGTCTTTCCAGGTGACGACATTCTGGCAAAGGAAATACGGATTAACTTCAAGGTGTCCCAAAGCTATACCAGTTCTGTGATGTGCTCAGGAAAACCACTTTGTCTCAGGGCCTCAGGCCCTCCTGTGTTTAGTGGTTCAAGAGGCCAATTCTCTTCTTACCATTAAGAGGCCCAGGCTCCCGTGGGCTGCAGCCATTGCTGTTTTGAGTGTGAATTACTCTAAACCTCAGTGCCTTTGGGAGGCTAGACAGTAGACATCCCTTGAAACCAACCCTCAGACTCAGGAGCTGTCAGAAAACCCCAAACATGCCTTTTTGCCAGTGCTCTGCTCTCTTGTGTTAGGAGTGATGTTTCTATCTCTGTCCCAGAGAGAGAAGCCTGCACAGATGATCCTGTCTGCAGGCCTTCACTGCTGACAATCCAGAAAACAGTGTGGATCAGCATTGAACTGAAAACAGCACATATGCAGAAACTGTTCAGTTTATCAGTGTCATTCAGTCACCCAGTGTGGCCTCAGTGCCTGTCCCATCAGAAGTCTGGAAACAGGTGCTATGGAAAATGTACAGAAATATAAGACCCTACCCTCAACAGCCTTTTCACACCAGGTCAGGGAGACAGCCCATGCATATATGCAGTGAGGCTCACAGGCAGGGATGGGTGTCAAATAAATATCACAGGCCATGCAGACTAGAAGTGTTCAAGGGCTACATATGCTTTCTGAGGGTTGGGTTGTCTGGGAAAGCTCGGAGAAGTGGTGAACCCCCCAGCGTCTTGTGGAATGGCTTGGAGGGGTGGAGTAGGCAAGACCAGCAGAAAGAAGTGCAGGAATGACATTAAACACACATTAACCTGTCCTCACGCCTCTCCAACGAGACTCAGATGGCCACTGGCTCTGACTGGGGAACTTGGTAAGGTAACTGTTGAGTGCCTAGGCATTCCCACTCCCATCTCTTCATGCACCCAAAGCAGCTTCAGAAGCCCCTGGGTTGTTAAGGCAACTCAGTTCACACACCACGAGCTAAACTTCTAACCAGCTCTGTGAAGAATTATTGCTGTATTTTCAATCCTTCACACATTGTCTTATGGTCAAAACAAAAATCACTTTTAGCCCGTCTTGCAGGTTCCAGACACTGCCTACCACCACCATTGTTTCTTTTCTGAGGGCCTTGGATTCACATTTCCTTTCCTATCTCATAACCACTATCTTCTCCCCAGCATCAGCACCTTCCAGGCCCTGCATGTACATTACCAGGCCTGTCCCACTGCCTCCAGCTGCTTTTATAATAACTCACCCACTCATTTCAAGCTTTGAAAATGTGCACATACTTAGACTTATTAACTCCATTTCTCAAAATGTGTATTTGCCTAACTTTTTTCTTTTATTCATTCTTTCATTTGTTTATCTGATGTGTTTTGGGAGTCCTGCTAGATGCTGGGGCGACACAATAAGCAAGCCAGAAACTCAAGTTTCTGCATGGAGTTTCTGCATATACAAATCTAAGAGGTTGTTTGTATATTTCTCCCCTAAATCCAGATTTAAAATTTTTTAAAATTTTGGCTCATGGAGGAGACATGTCACTGCATCATATCATAAAATAAAATCACATTGACCATGCCGAAGACACAGAATGACAGGTATAGACAGAATGAGAAAGAAAATTGTTCCAGGTCAGAGGTTTTCAAACCTAGAGCCACACCCTGTGAACCTTGAGGGTAGGGACACCCAGCAGAGAGGGGAGGGGAGAGTATCTCATGCTTCACATGAGGACTCTTATTTCCCCAGCATCCCTCTCACCAAGTTCTTCTGCATAGTTTTTTCCTAGTACTTTGGCCTTTCCAGTAAGATTTATTTGAACAGAATATTCTGTGACTGAAAAAGTTTGAAAACCACTAGTTGTCTCAAGTATCTATATTTAGTCTGGAAATCCTCCAGACTGTGGGATTTTTTTCCCCAAAAAATTTTCTTAAATTCCCATAATTCCTCCAGCTTTCAAGTTTAATTAGTGGGCTTTAATGATACTTGATACATGTTGGGTATATAATTAATGGACAATAATAACACAGGCATGCTAAGTAACAAAATCTCCTAGACCATGCAAACGTGCTGGGACTTGGAGTCCTAAAACAATTTTGCACAGTGTGTAATGGGAGGGGCTGCATGTGGGAAAAACATCAAAAACAGCAAAAATGTAGGCTGTATAAACAATTTGACATGACTTCCACATGATGTCATTTAATTTGTATTTTATTTAATATTTGCTAAGTACTCACAATATGCTGGATAATAATCTCTTTTCTCTAATTCTCTTCAGCACCTTGAACCCACAGATTTCATATCTGAATTTTCATCATTCACATACTTCCATTGTGATTAATTTTTTTTAACATTATCTGCAGGCTCCTTGTACTACTAAATATTTTATTTAAGTAGATTCATTTATATTTAAATAAATTTATTTTAAAAGACAACTTTATATCATTACCCATAAATAGAAGGCCAAAATAGAACACTTACCAAAAATAGAAGGTAACTGTAACAATAAATTCATAATGATGAAAATAATATTTTCCTCTCAAATATAAAGTATATATAAAATATAAACGATTGATGTAGAGCTTGCCTTTGTTCCATCACCTCACTTTACACCCCTTTGCCCACACACCCACATCCCATCCCCCACTCCCTTCTGAGTACCTACCTTACTCTCAACTAGTTGACAGCTAACAGCTGATAAGATAAAGGTATTAATCTCCTATTTTTGTATATTGATGAGACTATTAATTTTGAAATCAAATACCAGAACCTTAAACATATGCAAGTTTTATGAGACTTTCATAAAGAAACTTTGGCCATTTAATACATCAGGTAATCTATTTAAAAATTTTTTTTACATTTTTTTATTGCAAGAAAGATGATATACAATATTATATTGGTTTCAGATGTACAACATGGTTACTGGTTCATTGTATACATTTCTAGATGCTTGCCACAGGAAATGTAGTTACTAGGTAACCTATTAACCACCTACTCGTGAATCAGTCTTCATGCTTCCCCACAGGTTCATATTTGGAATTCCCCAAAATATGAAAATTCACCCAAGACTATATTAAAAGCTTTAGGATTGACAGGTATGGTCTTTCCAGGTGACGACATTCTGGCAAAGGAAATACGGATTAACCAGCTCACGAGCACACACCTTCTTGTAATCACACCTATAGCCATGTTCTCCTTGCACCCACCTAGGAAGGGGGAGGGGAGCCTTGTCTAGGGTCCAAATATTGGATTTACATCACTGAGGATGGTTGTCATTGCATTTTCTCCCTCTCACATTCCAGAATTCTTCCCTCCCTTGCTGCTTACCAGGGATTCCTCTTCCCAGGACGTCAGGAAGTTGTCGCAGATCAGATTTCCCAGGAAGCAGTCTCAGAGATGAGATTGTGTGCAGGGGGATCATTGGAAAGTAGACTCGGCAACCTCCCTGGGAGGCAGGATGGGGCAGAAGGAGGGGGTGAGCTGGGCTATAGTCACAAAAGAGTCCACAGCCATGCCACAGAAGCTGGGACAGCCCTTCAGAGGTGGCCCAACTGAGACCAGAGAGTCGGCTTTCTAACTCCCCACACTGGCCAGCCATTGGTCATAACCTTGGGCAAGGCAACCCTCTTTGCCAAAGCAACTCTCTGGCAGGGATTCCAGGGAAAGCCAGCAGCAGGCAGAGCTCCTGGCAGTGGGTGGGTGATGCCTGGTCCTAGAGGAGGTTCTGGGCAGAGTGCCAGTGATCTGCCTCCAGAGAGAGCTCACTACTGCCTTGTCCCCCACAGTCTGCCCAGGTAGTGGCAGCACAATGAAGCCCTGGGGCCTGATTTCCAGGCTGTTTCTCGCAGCGATGCACTAGCAGGCAGTGAGCCCGGTGGCAGTATGAGGGGCAGGTGACAGGTAACACAGTATATATGGGGCAGCAGGAGCCGAACAAACAGCCCACGTTGACCTTGATCTTCCTCTCTGCCCTTTGGCATTCAGCCTCCACCACTAACGAGTGCTGGGCAGGAAACAAATGTGGTCTCAACGCCTACTGGGTTATCAATCTTGAGATACAGCATTCAATTTCAAAGTGATTTGACCAAAGGCAAGTTTCAAATCCTGAGGGAAGCTGACTTTGCAGAGGCAAGGACATTCTGATGCAAAACCCTGGGTGAACCTTGTAAGCAGCCTCGGGAGGCCTTGGTTGCCAGCAGTTAGCCAAGCATCAGCTGAGCTGCTTTCTTTCCTTGGTCTGCGTTCCTCCCCCAGAGCCAGACCCCCCAGGGCAGCTATGTGGTGTCAGCCAAAGGTTTCAACTGGCGACCTCGTCTTTTATCACTTTATTCTTTGGAAACATGGAAGAGCCTGGAACATTTCCCCTTCTACATCTTCCTAAATGCGTCTGACTCAGGTAGAAAAGTCCATCATCATTTTGTTAAGAACAGCAGCCTTTTCGCCCCCACTCGACCACAACAGAACGAATCGTGGGCCTGAACTCTTCCTTACGCAGAGGCAAAGAGCCCACACAGCCTGTGCCGGGATTACCACCTTATGTGACATCTTAACCTGTCTCAGGCTCAGTGAGTGTTTCTTTGTTCTGCTTCAGCATGTACACCCACGGGCCTCGTGTTTCAGTATGTCAGACTCCATGCGAACAGGGTCAGCATCCTTCTGCTGCAGCACGAGACGAGTGTGCACAGGCCAATTGCCCTGCACTGGTGCCAGGGGCACCAGCTAGACCCCGTGGCCCCAGGGACCGACCGATGCATGCTCTTGGGGTGGACTGCACTCTGTCTTTTCTCCCTCCAGAGGAGAAAAGCGTTGTCCTGTCCAGTGCTGCCCTGTGCTGTGTGTGCCCTAGAAATTCTGATGCCAGTGCTGGCATTGTGATGGTCTTCACTATTCTCCATCTAGTTGGAGTGCCCTGCCATTGCCAGCTGGTGTTACTGTGTTCTCTTGACATTTTGTAGTATTGAGTGTCAGGGGAATGAGGAGGGGATTGTTCACTTTGGGTTCCAGGGCTGATATCTGATAGAACCCTCCTCATCTTCAGTATGGTTGACTGAAGTTAACTGTCATAAGGCCTATTGAAACGGGTTTCTCCAGATGGGACTGGAAGTGCTAGGAGGATCCGAGAGCAAGTCTAGCAGAGGCACCTAACAAACTTTACTGATGGCAGCAGGTCAGGCCACTGACTGGAGTGAGCCGCTTCTCTAGATATGGTCTTTCCCAAATATGAAGATTTGCTGTCACTTCCATAATCCTGGTGTACAGGGGGAAGAGGGAGGTGATGGATTGTGGGTATAAGAGGGTAGGCCATTCACACCCATGAGCCCACACAGCCTGTGCCGGGATTACCACCTTATGTGACATCTTAACCTGTCTCAGGCTCAGTGAGTGTTTCTTTGTTCTGCTTCAGCATGTACACCCACGGGCCTCGTGTTTCAGTATGTCAGACTCCATGCGAACAGGGTCAGCATCCTTCTGCTGCAGCACGAGACGAGTGTGCACAGGCCAATTGCCCTGCACTGGTGCCAGGGGCACCAGCTAGACCCCGTGGCCCCAGGGACCGACCGATGCATGCTCTTGGGGTGGACTGCACTCTGTCTTTTCTCCCTCCAGAGGAGAAAAGCGTTGTCCTGTCCAGTGCTGCCCTGTGCTGTGTGTGCCCTAGAAATTCTGATGCCAGTGCTGGCATTGTGATGGTCTTCACTATTCTCCATCTAGTTGGAGTGCCCTGCCATTGCCAGCTGGTGTTACTGTGTTCTCTTGACATTTTGTAGTATTGAGTGTCAGGGGAATGAGGAGGGGATTGTTCACTTTGGGTTCCAGGGCTGATATCTGATAGAACCCTCCTCATCTTCAGTATGGTTGACTGAAGTTAACTGTCATAAGGCCTATTGAAACGGGTTTCTCCAGATGGGACTGGAAGTGCTAGGAGGATCCGAGAGCAAGTCTAGCAGAGGCACCTAACAAACTTTACTGATGGCAGCAGGTCAGGCCACTGACTGGAGTGAGCCGCTTCTCTAGATATGGTCTTTCCCAAATATGAAGATTTGCTGTCACTTCCATAATCCTGGTGTACAGGGGGAAGAGGGAGGTGATGGATTGTGGGTATAAGAGGGTAGGCCATTCACACCCATCCAAGAAGGGGATTGAGCAGTACTGCTCTAAGGGCAAACTGCATCAGGCCCTCCTTCTAACTGGATACTTAGCTGGTTACTTCACTGGGTCAGAAAAGCTCTCGATAACTCCAAGGTCACAGTGACAGGTGTTAGCACAGCTCATCACATAGTTACTGAGTTGAACGCTTATAACATGCCAGGCACCATGCTAGGTTCCTGCGTGTCTCCTCTCACTTAATTCTTACAAGCACCCTCTGAGGTTGATCAGATTATTCTCTTTTTACTGAAAAAAATCAAAGATCAGAGAAAGCATGGAATTCACCACAGACTCACAGACATACACCTATAAAAGGCAAAGTCAAGATTTGAACCCAAGTCTGTCTAGCTCCAGCCCATTTCCACTGATGGTTGTGAAAAGCCTGTTCTCCCATTGCTACTCAGGTGCCACCCTGCCATTGTCCTTTTACATAAAAGGGACCCTCAATAGCAACTTTTAGTGCTCCCAGAATTTTGTTCATCACCATGTGCTGCTCAGATCCCCTGGACTGCAATAGTCTGCTTCCAGGACAGAGGCTTCTGTGCATCTTTTCAGCCTTCCCCATCACCCTCTGCAATGCCCTGAGCACGACAAGAGCCTGGCAAATGTTGCTGACTGACTGGGTGATGTACAAGCGTGGCTGAAAGATAAATCAGCCAAGGAGAGAGCCGGCCCATATTTTCACAAACTGGCAGTGTGTCATTCCACATAAAATGCTTGTATTTACCTGGTTTGTTCTCTGGGCCCAAACCTCCTTTATTTGCTCTGAAAATCTGGCTCGCCATTTGCTTGGACTATACTGATCATTTATTTAAAAAAAAATTTTTTTCAGCCCAGGGAGAAAATGCCACTGGTAATTAAGACTGTGTAATTAAGTCCTCTAACGGGTATAATTCCCTTCCCTTCTGGTGGAGGCATGCTGGCCCATGTAGACCTGGGTACCAGTGGTCATACCTGTTTATGTATGGCTTGTCCTTCTCCATATTTCACAGATGATAGGATACGGCTCTGCATCTCTTCATGTTAATTCTATTTGAAATACTCCCCACCAACATCTCAGGGCTCTGCCATCTAATAAGTGCAGCCAATTTATTGATAGTAAATCTAGGACAAGACAGACTCACATTGATGTGGGCCACAGGGCATTTAAATTAAACAGGAACTCTCCAGCCATCTGTGTTTTAACTTTTTTATGCCTTGATAATAAGCCCTGTTTAGAATAATTTGCTGTGGAAACTGGGACTTCGTGACTGACAGAGAAAGGCTGGGTATAAACAACCCAAGCAGGCCCCTGAATTTGCGAGAATGTCAGGCGAATTTAGACTCATCATAAAAGAATTCTCAGTGACTGTATTTCAATATGACACTTTTATGGTTTTTTATTTTCTAGTCCATTGCAGCCCCAGAGCCCTGGCATGATTTATATAGCCTGGCAGTGCATAATCTTTTGTATAAGATATACAGGCCTCCGGAGGTTTAATTTCTTTCCTCACCGCCACTGACAGCATTTGTGCTTCCCTTCTCTTCTATTTTCATTTCTAATGAGATATTGGACTTTGCTCAGTGAGAGGTGATATTTCCACATTTGCAGGCTGACAGGCTAAATCACCAGATCTCAGTGGTGAGGATACAAACCCATTTAAACTGTGTCAAAATATTCATGGAGCCCCATTGATTTGGGCAATGGTTATTAGGAAGCTATTTGGAAAGTTCAGGTTTAATTTTTGGAGCTTTCTGCTGCAAAATCACTCAGTTACATCACAGAGAAGATGGTATCAAAAGGATAAAGATGAGAGAGGGGTGTGGTGTGTTGCATTTATTTAGTTGGGATTATTTTTAGCACAAGGATGACCTTTGTTAAAAGCAGAAAAGAGTCCTGCGTTAATGCATTGGTGAATGTGTGGCACAAAGCAAAGTAAATTCTTCCTATTGCATATAAATGAATAATATGTCAAGCTATTGAAATGTTTTTTGAAAAAGCAACAGTGAACACAACTGACATAGGAGATTAATGCTTTGTGTCGCTCCACTGACTTTTACCTCTGCCTTTGATCTTAAATCTAGCTGGAACTATTGCGACAGGAGTCTAGTTTCTAAGTGGGATGGGTTCAAATAGCCCTGGTTCACTTAGTATTCAGAAGTGTCACAGAGGAAAATTCCCATGAATAAGAGAGGTGAATGTGGCTGCCCCTGTGAGGGCCTATCAGGATAGGAACACAACACATGGCCAACTGAGGGGATCTGGGGGCTCCCAGCAGAACTCAGGAAATGCACATGCTGAAAGGACCCTTGAAATGAGGCCATTGAAACAAAGTATTGGGATGTCTTTGGATGCTACAAAAGAGCAGATTCCTTTGATGGGACCAAACACATTTCACCTTTAGACGGCCCAGTCATTTGCAATAGTTGCTTTATCTGTGGCCTG